GCATGGTATTTACAATAGCCTCGTCGTATGACTGTTAAAGTTGCGCAGTGAATAAGGAAGACTATAGAAGAGTTGATGCATTTCAGTGATGGTGTTGGAGGAGAATATTGAAAGTACCATAGACTGCCAGAGGAACAAACAAATCTGTGTTGGAAGAAGTATAATCAGAACGCTTCTTAAAAGCAAGAATGGTTAGACTTCATCTCTTATAGTTTGTACATAGTATCAGGAGGGACCAGTCCCTGGAGGAGGACATTGGTATTATTGCTAAGTGGCATCAAGTCGGCTCTGACCCATAGCGACCCTGTGTAGGGTTTCCGAGGAGTGGCTGGTGAGCTTGAACCACCCACCTTGTGGATCAAACGACGTTGCAGTTCTACGCATTAAATCACAACAGCACACCACGGCTTCGGAGAAGCACATTATGCTTGGTAAAATGGAGGGTCAGTGAAATAGAGGAAGACCCTAACAAGATGAACTGACGTCGTGACAGCAGCAATGGGTTCAAGTATAACAACAATTGTGAGGGTGGTACAGGACAAGGCATTGTTTTATTCTGTTTTGCAGAGGGTGCTGGGGGTCATAATCGATGTGACGGTACCTAATAACAATACACCACTCCAGAATCTCTGACGTCAATCACCACTCCTCTCTTCCCTTAAGTCCCAGGGTTCTGCAACACATGGCAATCTCTCACAAAACTCACAACTGTCCAAGGAAATATATGGTTAACGCAATTAGAAAGCTGTCAAGTCCCAAATCCATAGTTCAGAAATCAGTCTGAAGAATCTTCTCATCCATGTAGTCTCACATTGAGGTACACAAATTGGCAGGTCAGATGACAAGCTGTTGATGCACGCAGCTGTGGGGGCTGGTGAATCAAGTCAGGTGATGGATGAACTGGAGGTCAGATATAATGAGTCAGAGTCAAGATCCGGGGCATGAGAGAGAGCTGTCCAAACAAGTCTTACAATCAGTGGTCAGACCATGCCCAAAGGGAAGGGAAGGGTGGTGACATCCTTAATCCTTAAATCCACTGTCATCTTTATTCTCTAGCCCCACCTTAATCTTTACTGCTTTGAAACTAATATCAGAATGGATCCATAACCATAGAAGGCTAGGATTTACTAAAGAAACTCTGGTAGCGTAGTGGTTACGAATTGGGCTGCTAATCTCAGGGTCAGCAGTTTGAAACTGCCATCCGTTCAGCAGGAGAAAAATGAGGCTTTCTGCTCACATAAAGATTTACAGCCTCGGAAAGCCTATGCAGGGTCGCTATGAGTCGGAACCAACTCCACAGCACACCGCCGCCGCTGCCAGGATTTACAATATTATCAGAAAATGGGGACATTTCACTAGAAGGGCCTTATAAATAGAATTACTTATGCTGCCTTGCATAAGTAAATCTCGCTTGGAATAAGAATGGAAACACTAACAATTTTGGGTGAAAAAAACCTGGCAGGATTAATTTTCGGTCAGCACTTTTTATGACTAATATTTGGTTTTGTAGATAAGAAAAAAGTCTTAAAATCAAAGTCAGATATCTGTTCTTTTCTCTTTGGTGAATATTTCAAGTTTGAGACACACTGTCATTTCATCATCGTGTTTAGCAACTTATAATATGAAGATGACACAACCTAGCTTGTTGAAAGCAAAGAGGACTTGAGGCATTTACTGATAAAGATCAAAGACTACAATCTTCAGTATGGATTACATCTCAACATAAAATTCCTCACAACTGGACCAATAAGCAACATCATGATAAACAGAAAAAAACAACTGAAGTTATCAAGGATTTCCTTTGACTTGGACCCACAATGCCATAGAGGCAGCAGTAAAGAAACCAAATGACAGATGACACTGGAAATACCTTTAAAGTGTCCAAAAGTAAAGATGTCAGTTTGAGGACAAGGTGCACCTGACCCAAGCCATGGTGTTTTGAATCACCTCATACACTGGACAAGGAGTCCTGGTGAGGTGCTGCTGGATAAAGCGCGCGTGCTCTCTCTTTCCCGCACCCTGCCCCTCGAGATTTCCAAAGAGCATCTGGTGGATTTGAAAGGCCCACCTTACAGTTAGCAGTCTAGTGCTTATCACACAGCACCACACCAGGACTCAAGACAATCCTATACTACTCTTGCTTCATTAACATAACAAAAAATCAATTCCCAAATGGGATTATGGCCACAGGCACAGAGGTTAGGTTGGTGGTGGTTATGTGCCGTGGAGTCGGTTCTGACTCACAGCGACCCTGTACAGGGTTTCCGAGGCTGTAAATCTTTACTGGAGCAGAAAACTTCATCTTTCTCATGCGGAACAGCTGGTAGTTTTGAACTGCTGACCTTGAGGTTTGCAGCCTAATTCGTAACCACTACACCAGAGCTCCTTAGAGGTTAGGTTAGTGGTTACGAATCGGGCTGCGAACCTTAAGGTCAGTGGTTCGAAATTACCAGCCGCTCCGCGGGAGAAAGATGAGGCTTTCTACTCGGAAACCCTGTACAGGGTCGCTATGGGTCGGACCCGACTCGATGGTACTTAACAACAACAACAACACCAGAGCTCCTTAGAGGTTAGGTTAGGATTTACAATACCTTTTCGGGGAGACATAATCCAATCGATAACATTAACAACATCATTTCTACCAGTGGGATCATAAGAAAAGGAAAATGCCATGAACTAAAATGGAAGACCCAAAATCCATGCTCTAAATTCAAAATCTATTAGACTTTAGTTGAATGTGCTGTTCATCACTCTACTATAAAGGAGCTCTGGTAGCGTAGTGGTTACGAATTGGGCTGCGAACCATAAGGTCAGCAGTTCGAAACTATCAGCCGCTCCGCGGAAGAAAGATGAGGCTTTCTACTCCCGTAAGGATTTACACCCTCGGAAACCCTGTACAGGGTCGCTATGGGTCGGAACCGACTCGAAGGCACTTAACAACAACAACAATACATACACACAGCTGTTCCCAGTGATGTACAGATACTGGTTTTTGTTGTGAATATTTAAAACGTGTATTGGTTTCATGAGTGTTGGTACCGGTTCCCATTCCATTCCATTCCAATCACCAGGACTGCAAAATCCTGGGTGACAGGAATTGCTACTTCTTCATGCTTTCTTTCCTTTGTTTGAAACACAGCTAGATTTTTTCACTTCAAATACCGCCCCCCCGCCAAAGCCTGAAGGTCAAATAACCTAATTTCCAAATAAAATTCTAGGAAAAGAAGGTATGCTTTTCTAGTTACTGTCAGATTTTTCTGGGGTATTCCTGTCTCAAATATTTGGTTCCCTTGCTATCAAATCTTGAGGGCTCAGCCTCATTCAATGCATATTTGAGGACAAGTAGTGAATACCTTTTTCCTGCCATTGGATATCCCTCAGGTCCAGTGGAAACTTCTGGTTTTCCAAGCAGCTTTCTACCCGCTCCCTTTGAGCTGCTATTTAGAAGCTCTGGTAGCTTGTTGTGGTTGTGAAGTGCCATTGAGTCGATTCCGACCCATAGTGACACTGTATAGGGTTTCTAAGGAGCAGCTGGTGAGCTTGAACCTCCAACCTTGCAGTTCAAAAGGCTTTGCAGTCTGGCATATGAACCCACAGCTCCACACCAGGACTCCTCTGGTTGCTTGTTGCTGTTGTTGTGAAGTGCCGTCAAGTCGGTTCCAACCCATAGCGACCCTGTATAGGGTTTCCAAGGAGCAGCTGGTGAGCTTGAACCATCTACCTTGCAGTTCAAACAATTTTGCAGTCTGACGCATTAGCCCACAGTGCCACACCAGGAATATGGCAAATAAAAATGTAATAACTAAGGCTCAGTATTAAAAACCATTTCACTGTTATTGCCTATTTGCTTCTAATTTTTTACCGCCATTCACTCGACAATTCTTTATTGAGTCTTCCTCGACATCCAGCATTGCTCTGGGGTCTTGGGTTACTCAAACACCTGGTACTTTGCTTCCACAGGTGAGAAAACTGGCAATAAACACAGCAAGTTAATAGTACTCCTGTGTTAGAAAGGAGTCCTGGTGTGGCGCTGTAGGATAAGCACTCGACCTCAAGGTCCGTTTGAACCGCGACAACAACAGTGTTAGAAAACTATAAGCTATGTTGTTGTTGTTGTTAAGTGCCGTCGAGTCGGTTCTGACCCATAGCGACTCTGTATCCGGTTTACGAGGAGCAGCTGGTGAGCTTGAGCCGCCAACCTTGCAGCTCAAACGGATTTGCAGCCTGTCGCATTAACCCATAGGGCCACACCAGGACTCCATTCTGAGCTATGGAAGAGAGACAAAAATATAGCAAGATCAGGGGATTGAAAGGAGGGACCACTGGAATTTTTAAACCGCATCGTTGAGGTAGGTGACCATTTGAGAATAATGGAGGAGGTGGAGGAAATAGCCAGCAGTTATAAATAACTGTAACAAAATTGTATGACACACAATAAAGTTCAATATATGTTGAAACTATCACTATGATTATCTTCCCCAAAAGGTTTCGATTCTGGAAGGGAAGTAGGCACTTTCTTAACCTGAACAGCAGGATGAGCCAGACGTAGCCTGCAATATCCTCAATGCCTGGAAGTCTCCAGCCAGCTGGCTCTGTTGCCCAATGGACAGCCTGTGAGCGTAAACTCTGATTCTAGGCGCCCAGAACTCTCTGGCCTCAGTGCCCAAACAGTAAAAAGGAGGTGAAAAGCCAGTCTTTCGGACTTTACGCATGCCAGTGGAACTAACGGAGTAGCTGAGCGTAGCCCAGAGGTCTGCTAGCGCAGGAAGACAAGCTCCCACCCTACTCGCATTTCCCCAGGTCCCTTTCTCCGCCCCCTCCCGGTTCCCCGCCCACCAGCCACACCCCCTCTGCGATAGGTCGAGCATCAGCGCCAAATCCAAAGGCGATTGGCTGAGCCGATGACGCGTCCGGGCGCGCCACGTGTACGTCGGGGCCGACCGGAAGGCTGGTGGAGCCAGAAGACGTGTCACGGCGTAGAGGCTGCGGAGGCGCCAGCCATGGAGAGAGACGGGGAGCCTCTCTCCGCGCGGCCAGCCCTTGAGACCGAGGGGCTGCGCTTCTTGCATGTCACGGGTGAGTCACCGCGGACTGAGTGTAAGGGGCTCGCGCCGTCCTGCTCTCCCGGAGTGCCGCCATGTTCGGTGGGTCTTCCTTCTCGCTGCGCGGCCTTCGGGATCTGGCGACAGCTGGCTGGGCGTCGGCGCCGCGGGCGGACCCTGGGCGCTGGGCCAGTCGGCGCCGCACTTCCCTGGGCGGGTTTGGACTTTGCTTGTAACAAACGCTTCCGGCTTGCGGCTACTGGGCTTGCTCGGCCCATGACACTTGCCTCGTTAGCCTCGGCGTCCCCCAGACTCACCATCCTCCGGCCCCCACGCCCACCACCTTCTGTCACGTCTTTCAGAACCCAACCATGTTTTATCTCCCCCACCCTAAAATGGGTGACGGGCCCTTTTGAGGGACCCCTGAATTATTGCCCTTCTTGGTATTTTTAACCCACTTAGGCCGTCGTAGCGAGGATCTGAATGTGTTGAGTGCAGGAACTTGTTGAGTTTTAGGCAGAAGTCCATGAGTAGTAACCTTTTTTAATCTCTTGATTCCTCTTTTTCAGTAGGCTCCCTGCTGGCCACTTATGGCTGGTACATCGTCTTCAGCGGTATCCTGCTCTTCGTGGTCATTCAGAGGTTGTCCGCCCGCCTGAGGGCCATGAGGCAGCGGCAGCTGGAGCGAGACTCAATTGTTGTGGGTTAGTTCGTGCCTGGGAACAGACGAGGCCTGTCTCTGACACCTGATTCCTTTGCTAGTTAAATTAGCCAACTCTTAAGAGGGAGAAGTTGTTGTTATGTGCCGTGGAGTCCGTTTCGACTCATAGCGACCCTGTACAGGGTTTCCGAGGCTGGAAGTCTTTACGGGAGCAGAAAGCCTCATCTTTCTCCCGTGAAACAGCTGGTAGTTTCGAACTGCTGACCATGAGATAAAAGGGAGAGAAGTACATGGTTCTAATTTGTTCTGGGAAACAGTGATGGTGTGCTTCTGAAATTGATTTGGCTGGTTGAACTATAAAGTTTTTTTTAATTTAGCAGATTTTAATGGGATGGAAGGAGGCCTGATGTGTGTGATGAACTGCAAAGTCGGTGTGAGCTGCAAGGTTGGCGGTTCAAGCTCACCAGCCACTCCTCAAAAACCCTATGCCGGGTCACTGTGTGTCAGAACCGACTCTATGGTACTTAACAACAGCAGTGAGATGGAAAACCTGCCTGAAGTAGATCACTCACTACATCTCTTGTTGAGTGGTTTTTGTCATTTGTGGTATGTTTGTGTGCTGTCGAGTCGATTCCAACTCTGAGGCTGTAAATCTTTGCAGGACCAGAAAGCCTTGTCTTTCATTTATGTTGTTGAGTGCTGTCAAGCTACTCATAGGGAACCCTGTCTAGTGTTTCCAAAGTGCGACTGGTGGGTTTGAACTGGCGACCTCTCTTTGTATTTGTGGGTCTGCCTAATTTGAGCTATTGCTAGAATTAGTATGAGTGATAAGAAACTCAGCTCAATTCTCTGTATCCTTTTCATTTTAGCATTAACTAATATACCCAATTTTGGTTTCAGATTGTATTTGGCTGTTTTAAAAACTCATTCTCTCTGGAAGGGTAGGGTAACCTTTTCTAGATAGAAGCTACATTTTCTGAGAACATTTTCAAACGGTATGTAAGAGGAAGTCTGTACTGTTGATGGAATGGATACTTCAAAACAGAATTCTTTGATTGAGACAAGTCTTTTGGCAAAAATGATGAAGCCCTTGACTCCTACAAACATTGTGTTTATGAAACACTGCAAAAAATAAATTGCATTGTTGTACAATTTGTTTGAAAAATTGGGTTTAAAAAAAAAATCTACGCTTGTTTGATTTTACTATAATGACCCAAAATTTACCTAATTCTTTTTTGTTTTACAAGGTAAAATTCCACTAGGCTCTACTGTCACCGAACATAAACAGATACACACAGAGGTGGGACTGTGTGTGTGTGTGTGTGTGTGTGTGTGTGTTGGGGGGGTGTTTCAAAAAGTTCATGGAAAAATATCATTACTTTGGCATCCCATTTTCCACAAACTTTTTGAAACACCCTCATATTTGCATGGGAGTCCTGGTGTAGGAGAAGCATTGGTTGGCAGTTCAAACCCACAGTTGCACCTCAGAAATCCTATCAAGGTAGCTATGAGTCAGAACCGACTTAGCGACACTCAGCAATGTTTATGTTCACTTTGTTTGTGGTTCTTTGTCATTGTTAAGTGCCATCAAGTCTGTTCTCACTCATGGCAATCCTGTTTGGATTTCCAAGGCTGTAAATCTTTGTGGGATCAGAAAACCTCATCTTTCTCTCTCGGAGATGCCTGTGGGCTCGAACTGGTGATCTGTGGTTCCAAGTCCAGTGGTTTACATTATAGTGCCACTGTGCTCCTGTGATACTTTGGTCTCTATATGCATCCACTTAAATGACCTTTTTCCAGTACTAGTTATCTGCAGATAATGATCTATTCTTTGGAGGATTGCTTGTTGTGAAGTGCCGTTGAGATGGTTCCGACCCATAGCGACCCTGCATAGGGTTTCCGAGGAGCAGCTGGTGAGTTTGAACTGTTGACCTTGCAGTTCAAACGGCTTTGCATTCTGGCACATTAACCCACAGTGCCACCCCAGGACTGATGCGATTCTATAAGGTGTAATGTGTTTTCTTGTTTAAAAAGATCCCGTTACTGTGTAGTTGTCTCTCCCACCCTCCCATTGTTGTGGGGCTAGCGCAGTGGTCCTGGAGTCCTGGTGTGGCACTGTGAGATGTAGCAGTGGGCCGCAAGGCTGCTGGCTCAAGGTGGGGGACTTGACAGGATTTATAATAATTCCGCTTGCTTTCACAAACTAGATACAAACGGTTCACTTGTGCTTTATTCTTAGTGCTGGCTGAAAGGATTTTTCTTCCTTTATAGCAAAATGGATAAAAGGCCTAAGAATCCTTATCTTTTTTTGAGGTAGGTCAGAGCCGATTAAGGAGCTGTAGTGATTATGAATTGGGCTGTGAGCCGCAAGGTCAGCAGTTCAAAACTACCAGCTGTTCCATGGGAGAAAGATGAGTCTTTCTGCTCCCATAAAGATTTACAGCCTCGGAAACCTACCCTGTGCAGGGTTGCTATGAGTTGGAACCGACTCCACGGCACATAACAACAACAACAACAACGACGTAATGTAGTGGTTACAAGTCGGGCTGCAAACCTCAAGGTCAGCAGTTTGAACTACCAGTGGTTCCTGGGGAGAAAGATGAGGCTTTCTGCTCCTGTAAATATTTACAGCCTCGGAAACCCTATGCAGGGTCGATATGAGTCAGAATTGACTCCAGAGCACATGACCACCACTACCACCAGAGCTAATAAGTGATAGATGTTGGTGTTAGTGCCATTGAGTCGGTTCTGACCCACAGCAACCCTGTATAGGGTTTCCAAGGAGCAGCTGGTGACTCTGCATTTCAGGTCATTAACTGAAAACTTGTATTTGTTTTGGTACTCTGGTCAGCCTAGAACTCTGGGGGCTACTTAGGTATCTGGCTTGTGGGACGGGATCGCAGTGTGGTCAGCAGGCTATTTACATTCAGTTGCAGAGGCATGATCCAGATGGGAAGTCAGCACTACTACTGCAAGTTCTAGTACTACTCCTGGTTACGGGGTAGTTCCTTGAGTAGTAAAATACTTGGGAAGTGCGGAAATGATTTCTGTGGAATCAGCTGTCTTTTGTGTCTTTATTTTACTTCTAATGATACGGACGCTCCAAAGTTTGGGCTAGGGTTTATTTTTGATTACACAAGGTGCTTTATCAAATTTTTTCTGACTTTCTAGAACCTGATATTGTTGTTAAACGACAAGAAGCTTTAGCAGCTGCTCGTCTGAAGATGCAAGAAGAGTTCAATGTGAAAGCCGAAAAGCATAAAGAGAAGCTAAGACAGGTATGAACCAGCTTTTGGATAACTGGGCTTAAGAAATCGAGACTCAGCTCTGTATGCCTGTACGTGTTCCCATATGTTTGGTTCGTTATTAGCTACAAGGACAGGCTTTTACCACATCCAATTCAACAACTGTTCCATTGCCAGATGTGGGAGAGCTTTGAGCCACCCAGACAAATCTGCTCTTATGAAGGGCACAGCAGGGGGACTAACGGACTCGGGGCTAGTGTGTGTCTGTCTCTGAGCACACGCATGTGCGTACGCACACAGACTCACTAAGTCAGGAGCTGGAAAGAGTGAATTGTGTGACTGCTTCTGTTTACTTTAACGTGCTTCCTTTGCGGCGTTTTCTTACTATTGCAGGGAAAAATAAGCAAGGAACGGTGTCTTTGTTTTGGTGTTTGCTCCCTGATTGCAGTGAGCTCACCCAATAGGAGGCACCCAGAATACATAGTCGGCTGCTTGCTCCTTGGTCTGTTTTTAGCTCTGTGTCTCACCAGGACCTGAGCTGTGGTTTGAAAGAGAGCAGGGAAGGCGATGATAATACAAAAGGAGACGTGGAGGGTGACAGGTGGTATGGGTGGAAGGACTTCCTTAGACAACTGGAGGGTGACAGGTGGTGTGTGTGGAACGACATCCTTAGACACCTGGAGGGTGACAGGTGATGTGTGTGTAAGGACTTCCTTAGACCCCTGGAGGGTGACAGGTGATGTGTGTGAAAGGACTCCCTTAGTCACCTGGAGGGTGACAGGTGATGTGTGCGGAAGGACTTCCTTAGACATCCGGCTTGCCTGGGGGTCAGGGATGGGGGTGGAGAGAACAGGCAGTAGAGGAAGTTGAGGCTGAGCTTAGAGACCTCTCCAGCTATGCTCTTTTTAGCTGGACCCAGCTTATTCATCCACTGTACCTTGACATGACTAGATTTTGCTTTCTGGTTTCCATCTGAAGGTCTCTGGCTCCTTCCTCTTCATCCCTCCACTCGGAGTCCGCTGCCCCTGGAATCTGTCTTGCCTACACCTCTGGTGTTTCCTGGGTGGTGTGTTTTCCCTCTGGTAGCTTTACTGGTCTCTTGTGGTCTGCCAAGCTTGGCGGGAGCCTGTAAGACTCCAGGAGGGCACAGCAAGGTCACCAGCTCCCAATAGCTGTCTTCAGTGTCCAGGACTGTTAGTGTCCCTGATGGTAGTTTCCTGGAGCTGCTGGGACACACATAGCACACGTCTGTGGCTTTGAAAAACCGAAATTGACTTCCTCAGAGTTCAGAGCATAGATGTCTGGACTTAGGACACCACTGTAGGATGAGGTGCTTTCGCCTCCTGGGTTCCTTGTCTCAATCTTCATGTGGTATTTCTAGTGTCTGTCTCTGCAGCTCCTTTTAACTCCTGAACTGCTGCAGCATAGGACACAAACTCCACCCCTAGCATCTCATTAACGTAACAAAGATCTCTGTTCTCACAGGAAGCAGTCACTGGGGCTAGGAGTCCTTTGGGTGGAGCACTGAGTGTTCACTGAAGTACAGCCACAGGGCCAGAGGCGGGACAGAGGAGACTCCAGGGTGGAGTTCTTGCCTCCTGTGTGGCCACCACTCAACTTGGTGGGGTGGGGTGGGGTGGGGTAGGGGGGGTGCCGTGGTACTGAGCAGGCTTCAGCGGGGCCTCCAGACTAAGATGGACGGAGAAGGAAGGCCCAGCGATCTACTTTGCAAACTCCAGTATTGAAACCCCCGTGGCTCCCCATGGTCTGTCTGTGGCAGTCCCCAGATGCTTCCCTGTGGGAACTCACAGCCCTGGCACTGTACTCGAGTGGCTGCTTTCTTCAGTCCTTGCTGTCCCCATGTGCTTGTCACCTTGTGAGCCGACAGAAGCCTCAGCTGAGCAGGTGCTGGCACACTCCTATCGTTAGGTACTGAGTTTTTTATCAGGTGGCACACACAAAATTACGCTGTTCAACTATACCGTGGAAAAGGCACGGGTTTATTCCAAACAAAATGTGTTTAAACATGTCTCTCTGATCAGTGCCTGTCAGTAGTAGACTTTTCTAGTTCTCCTTAGAGTGCCTGCAGAAAAGATTTTTGTGCCAGGAGAAAAATGATTTTGAGGATAGGGCTAATTCCTAAATTTTAACAAAACTCAGGTGGACATTTTGCCATATCATTGAAGCTTTGCAGCAAGGTTATAGGATTGCTGCCCCACATAAAACATTTTAAGGAAGGTCAAGAAGACCTCAGAGGGGTTAATTGAAGGCAGAGAGGGTCAGCTCAAAAGGTTATGGGAACTGTTTTTGCTCACTCCAAAGGTAATCTTGATAGATTTTCTTGCAAGACACAGGCTGATCACTGACTTATTAGGAAGAAGTTGTCTGGAAACTGAAAAGGCCGGGAATGTTGTGAGGAAGGATTTTCACCATGACAGCATCTACTCATTCTTGGAGGGTAGCAAGGACTCTTCATGAGAATTTCATTGGGAAGCCTTACTCCATCACCCTACAGTCCTGATGTTGTTACTCCAGACTTTGGTTTCCAGGACTCAGAGGACATCTAAAAGGAACACAATTTGAGTCCTTTGAGGATGCAAAAACTACTATTTTGACATGGTGTAAATTGAAGAGCATGACATTCTTCAGGGTGTAAATTGAAGTGTGCTTAAGGGTTGTTGTGAAGTGCCATCAAGTCGGTTCTGACCCATAGCGACCCTATATAGGGTTTCTTAGGAGCTACCGGTGAGCTTGAACCGCCAGCCTTGTGGTTCAGACGGCTTTGCAGTCTGGCCCATTAACCCACAGCGCCCCACCAGGACTCCAGAAATACTGCCTTGGGGAGTGTCTAGACCTAGATGGAGGGTATGTGGGAAAACAACAGCTTTACGGTTTGGTATTTTTGTTTAGTGAAGATTTCTATGATTTTGTTAGTACTGCTTTTGTGCTTGGAGTCCTGGTGTGGTGCTGTAGGATAAGCACTGGACCCCAAGGCCAGCGGTTTAAACCCACCAGCCACTCCTCGGAAGCCCTGTACAGGCTCGACAGCACTTACCAACACCACCTTTGTACTGACCTCGTATTTCTTCAGCTGTGTTTCATCTCTAGATAACACATGTACATACCTTTTATGTCAATGGCAGTATAGTGTAAATATCCTGTGCCTTTGCTGAGCAGTTTTTTCAGTTTTGTTCCTTTGCTGATTTCCAACCCCTTAATTATTGTTTTGTCTCAGAGCTGTACCTTGAATTCCTTTTATGTGCATTCAGTGAATTTAGAGTCTGAGTTTTTCTTTTTTATTAGTAAAATAGTGTAATCATTTACTCAGCTTGTGCATGTAGCTGAAAATATTTTTTTAAAACAATAGCTTTTTAAGATTGTTCCTGAAATTGTTTGGATTCAAAATGATTTGAGCATGCCTGGTTCCATCTCATGTGCTTAAAAACATAACACTTCACTGGTTAACTTGAATCTGTCTGTTGTTACATGTTGTGAAGTCAGTTCTGACTCCTAGTGACCCTATCTAGGGTTTTTGTTGTTGTTGTTGTTGTTAAGTGCCTTCGAGTCGGTTCCGACCCATAGCGACCCTGTACAGGGTTTCCGAGGGTGTAAATCCTTACGGGAGTAGAAAGCCTCATCTTTCTCCCGCGGAGCGGCTGGTAGTTTCGAACCGCTGACCTTAAGGTTCGCAGCCCGAGGGTTTTGAAGGCTTTTAAATCGTTACAGGAGCAGAAATCTCATCATTTTCCTGTGGAACCGTTGGCAGACTCAAACCGTGGACGGTGTGGGTCACAGTCCAGTGCTTATCATATGGTTCAATCAGATCTTCTGTTTATGGTCTCAGAACTTGTCAGCTATTCCTTGGCAGTCCGTTCTGATGTTCTTGATCATCAGAAGTGTCTAATTGGTTTCCTCCATGACTCATTTATTTAGTGTTATTATTTTTATAAGCACATGAGCTGGAAACACTGAAGGCATGAGGTGACAGGTATTTGGGTTTGCAGCAATGGACTCTGAAAATTATGGAGAGATTTTCTAGATGTGTGCTTTTTAAAGCATCTTCTCACGGATCCCTGGTACACTGGTTTATTGGACCCCGAATGAAGTACATTTGGGTCTGAGTTCCATTGGGAACAGAGGATTCTGTGTGTGCGCGCGCAGGTTGTAGTGCGTGGACAGTGAACAGTGTTTTTTATGTTGGTGAGCCCCTCAGTCTGTGGACAAGGGTTCTCAGAGGTCGTGGTGGAGCAGGATTTTCTGCTGCGATTCCTGATCCCCTTAAATTCCATCCTTGGCTTTTCAAAGCTCTTTAGATTTGTTCTCAGCTGTCCTCAGAGCCCTGATCAGAAGAGGGTCAGTGGCTCCCGAGGTGGCACAAGCAGCGAGCAGCAGAGTGGGCCGCTGACTACACCCACTCGCTGCAAGGTGGAGTAGTTTCACTGCATTCATTATCCAGATGTCTCCATACGAAGAGTTCTAGCCTCTCTCCTGGGTTCACTTCAGAAGAACTAACCCTGTTCTTTCCGATACTTTTTGCTTTTTTTTTTTAGTTTTTATTGTGAGTTATGTGTTAGATTACATGGGTGAACATTATCTTTACAGTCATCCTATCATACTTTGTTTCATTGCAAGGATGCATGCATCATCAAACACCCAAAGGGTACACCCCACACTCCTGCACCCCAGTTGCCAGCACACAGCCCCTCTCCCTCCCTGAGTCCAGAGTACCCAGCCGCTCCTTCTGCCCACGTCATTGCCTCTGTCTCCATCCCTAGTGTCACTGCCTCTCTAGACACGGTGTCCAGCCTTGCTTTTCTCCCTCGATGCTTCCAGGAATCTCCACTCTTAGACTGCAAAATCAGCCACTCCCCTCCATTAGTTACCAAACATTTACCTTTCTAACACTCACTGTGAGACCTGATACCAATCATTCCCTTATATCAGCTGGATGCTTCACACTCCATTCTAGTCCCTACCCTTGGGCCCAGGAGTCTCCAGGTCTAGTCATACTGCTGGTTATCCAGGTCTCAATCCAGGTTAACAGGAGTCTATTGACTGTGATTGGACTTAGTTCACAAACTCATTGCTGTTTTTCCCCCCTTCCCCTTGTCGGTGACCAACGTGGTCAGCAGCAGGACTGTATGCCCTCTAGTGTATTCCATTTGAGTTTCCATCTTGGAAGGGGATTTGCCTTGAGGGGACCTGACCACTTGCCTTGATGGCTCCCTGGGGAACAACTTGCTTGTTCTTATAGTAGTCAGTGGGACTGCTGTTGTTTTTGATTTTTGCTCCTAGTCTTTATTTCAAGAAGTATCTTCTGCTCTTCTAACTGCTCCAGACTGGTCTGCTTGTCCTTTCAAGTGGAAATGTCCCACCTCAGAAGATTCTGGATGAGGATCAGAATTCCACCTATGGTCTTGTGCAATGCAAAGGCTCTGCAGGAGTCTCTTTAACTGGGCAAATTGTAGCCCCATTTTAGTTATTCCAATCAGTTACAGGCTGAAGACGGATTTACAAGCTTTCTCTGGTGATGTTTCTGGCTATTCCTCTCTCTCCCCGTCAAGTGTGTATTTTACAATAGTAGGCAAGGGAAATGAAGATTTAAAAGACAGCCAAGCATCTTAACATCAGTTCTCCACTTTAACCCATTCAAACCATGCCTCAATCTTTGTGTCCACGAGCCCTGTTGGTCCAAGTTTGTGCTTAGATCGCTATTTACCTCTGTCCCATTTAGCCCATGTAAACCTGGCTACCTATTCTCCCATCCTCCTTATTTTTCCTTTCCCATTCCCCTTCTAGTGTATTCCCTGCCCCCCAGCACCATACTATCCTGTGTCTATTCCATACCCTGTGCTACACCTTCCCCTCCCTCTTCCTCTCCCCATCCCATACACCCTGGTAACCAACAACAACAAAAATACTAAAATAAAGATGATTTCTTTCCCCCTTTTAGTGTGGGTGCTTTTTCTTAGTCTTTTACAATAATGGCTCTATGCTGTGTTTCTCCTTTTGTGACTGACTGATTTCACTCAACATATGTCCTCAACGTTCATCCATGTTATGTGGTGGCTTGTTGCTTCCTTGTTATTCATCAGGATAGCGTAGTATTCCATTGTGTGTATGTACCACAATTTATTTATCTATTCTTCCATAGATGGACACTTAGGCTGTGTCCAACTTTTTGCTGTTGTAAATAGTGCTGCTATGAACATTGGTGTGCATATATCTACTCGGGTTATGGCTCGTATTTCTTGTGGGTAAATATCAAGTAGAGGAATTGCTGGATGATAGGTATCTATTTCCAACCTTCTGAGGAAGCGCCATATTGTTTTCCAGCGAGGTTGGACCATTTTGCAATCCCACCAACAATGCAGGAGCATCTTAGTCTCTCCACATGTTGGCCAGCATTTATTGTCCTCTACTTTTTTGATCTTTGTTGTTATTGCTGGTTTGAGATGACATCTCATTATTGTTTTGATTTGCATCTCTCTAAGAAGCTCTGGTAGCGTAGTGGTTACGAATCGGGCTGCGAGCCTTAAGGCCAGCAGTTCGAAACTACCAGCTGTTCCGCGGGAGAAAGATGAGGCGTTCTGCTCCCGTAAAGATTTACAGCCTCGGAAACCCTGTACAGGGTCGCTATGGGTCGGAACCGACTCGACGGCACTTTGCAACAACAAAATGGCTAGTGATCGTGAACATTTCTTCATATGTTTGTTGGCTGCCCGGATCTCTTCCTTGGTGAAGTGTCTGTTCAGGTCCTGTGCCCACTTTTTAATTGGGTTATTTGTCCTATTCTTATAGAGGTGTTGTAGGCTCCTTTATATTTTGGAAATGAGTCCCTTGTCTGATGTTTTAATTTTTAGTATGTCCAAATCATCTATTTTGTCAATTTTTGTTTGTGTAATTTTCAAAATGTTTGGGAGTCTGTGTATGCCCTCTATTAGAGTTCTCACATTTTCCCCTATTTTTTCCTGAATGGCCTTTGTAATTCTGGGATTCACATTTAGGTCTTTAATCCATGCTGAGTTGGGTTTTGTATAAGGTGTGAGATGAAGATCTTGTTTCAATCTTTTACATATTGCTTTCCAGTTCTGCCAGCACCATCTGTTGAAGAGACTATCTCCTCCCCATGCGATATATTTAGGTAATGTCGAAAATCAGTTGGCTGTATGTGGATATGTTAATTTCTGGATTCTGTTCCATTGATCAATATATCTTTCATTGTACCAGTCCCAGGCTGTTTTGACCACTGTAGCTGTGTAGTAAATTTTGAAGTCAGGGAGTGAGAGGTTTCCAACCTTGGTCTTCTTCTTAAGCAGTACTTTGCTTATCCTTGATCTGTTTCCTTTCCATATAAAGTTTGTCATAGTTTTTACCATCTCTTTGAAGAATGTCATTGGAATCTGGATTGGGATTGCATTATATATATTAATTGCTTTGGGCAGTATCGACATTGTCACAATGTTAAGTCTTCCTATCCAGGAGCATGGTACATTCTTCCTTTTTTTTTTTTTTTGTAAGTCTCTTTTGGTTTCTTGTAGTAGTGTTCTGAAGTTTGCTTTGTATAGGTCCTTTGTTTCTCTGGTCATATTTATTCCTAGATATTTCATCCTTTGTTGGGTGGCTATTGTAAATGGGATTGCTTTCCTAATGTCCTTTTCAATGCTGTCTTTTTTGGTATAGAGGAATCCAGCTGGTTTTTGTTTGTTGATCTTATGTCTTGCTACTTTGCTGAGTCTTCCAATGAGATCTAGTAGCTTCTTTACTGAGTCTTTGGGGTTTTCTATATATAGGCTTATATTGGCTGCAAATAGAGTTTTACTCCCACTTTGCTTGGCTGCCCTTCATTTCCCTATCTTGCCGTGTAGCTCTGGCTAAGACTTTGAGCACAATATTAAATAGGTGGTGGTGGTGGTTGTGTGCCATGGAGTCAGTTCCGACTCATAGCAACCCTGCACAGGGTTTCCGAGGCTATAAATCTTTATGGGAGCAGAAAGCCTCATCTTTCTCCTGCGGAATAGCTGCTAGTTTCGAACTGCTGACCTTGTGATTCACAACTTGATTCGTAACTGCTAAGTACCAGACCGTGGTGACAAAAGGGCATCCTTGTTTGCAGAAGGAAGGCTTTCAGTTTCTCTCCATTGAGAGTAATGTAGGTTGTTGGTTTTGTATATATGCTCTTGATTATGTTGATGAATTTCCCTTCAATTCCTATTTTGTTGAGTGTTTTTATCAGGAATGAATGTTGGATTTCATTAAATGTCTTTTCTGCATCAATCAATATGGCCTTTTTTTTTTCTTCCTTTTTTCTTATTTATATGGTGAATGAGATTGATCATTTTTCTAATATTGAACCCTTCTTGCATCCCTGATATGAATCCCACTTGATCATGATGTTTTGTTTTGTTTTTTGATGTGGTGCTGGAATATGTTGGCTAGGATTTTGTTGAGAATTTTTGCATCTATGTTCATGAGGGATATTGTTGTATAATCTTCTTTCTTAGTGACATCTTTCCCTGGTTTTGGTATGCAGGTTATGCTTGCTTCATAAAATGTATTAGGAAGTTTTCCATTCTCCTCTTTATCTTTTGGAATAATTTGAGTAGAATTGGTGACAGCTCTTCCTGAATGTCTGGTAGAACTCACCAGTGAAGCCATCTGGACCTGGACTTCTTTTGGTTGGGAGTTTTTTGATGACCTGATAAGTTTCTTCTATTGTTATGGGTCACTTTTTGCTTTTTAATAATAGTGTTCAAAGTAAAGGTTCCTTGTGTGCAATGAGCCACCAGTTCACAAGAATAATGGTTTGTTAGAAGGACATTTAAATGAAAAGTTGTCAAAATTTTCATTTTTCTTAAGGAAGATGGCACTATATGAATAAATTGTTTATCACGTGCACTTTTTTTCAGCTTGAAGAAGAGAAAAGAAGACAGAAGATTGAAATGTGGGACAGCATGCAAGAAGGAAAAAGCTACAAAGGAAATATCAAAAAACGGCAGGTGCTGTGTCTTCAGTCCTGTTGGAGAGTTTCAAGTAGATGAAGCTTTTGCAAGTACAGTGTTTTTATGTAGATTCTGAAACCTGCGTATGTTCCTACAGGAAGAAGATAGCCCTGGACCTTCCACGTCATCAGCTCCCTCTAAACGTAAACCTGACAGAAAGCCATTGCGGGGAGGCGGTAGGTGCCAAATGACTCCTATTATGAGTCTACATTTCATCTATAAATTGAAACTAACTCGGAGGTTTAGGACTGGGGTGACTAAGCAGGGAAACAGAAAGCCCCTAAGAGACATTTTGGTTTGGTTTGCATACTGGTGGAATACTCTGTGGTTTGCATACTCTGTGGGATCAGCACTGGACTGCAACCACCAGGTCCACAGTTCAAACCCACCAGCTGCTCCTCAGAAACCTTATACAGGGTCGCTATGAGTCGGAGCCAACTCTATGGCATTTACCAACAACAACCTTCTCACTTACTCCTACAATGTGGGTGTCTGCTGGGAGGTCAGTAGGACAAGGACAGTGTGACCAGTTTGCAGATGTGCTATATGTTTTTGGTCAGGGCTTGTTTCCTGTAAACAATTTTCTCAGAGACAGGTGGGTAATGCTCCCTCCTGGCCTCTTGGTGCGACCTCACCGAGGCTTCTTCATTTGCTGGGAGGGTTTGTGAGTTAACCTTGAGGAAGGAGAACCGGGACAGTAATTCCAGGGCCCTTGGTGTAGGAGCCATTCTAGGCTGAAGCCTCCTCATTCTTCATTGAGGAGAGGCTGTTCCCGTAGGGAGGTACTGCAGAAGCTGAAATGAGGGCATCTGAGAGCCTTCTCCGGGTAGACCTAATGCGTATGGCTGGGCATTCCGAGGATTGTGCTCCCAGACTGGCCGGCCTTACTCACGGAGCTCGAATCCCCTCGCTGTAGGGGGAGTGAGGTGTCTGAAAGAAACGCCTCTAATACCATCTCTTAAAAACCAGCCACTGCAACCACCAAAAGACCTCTTAACTGAAAGTCTGTTTTCTAAGCTGCCACCAGTGGTGAGACCTAAGGGAGGAGTGTCAATTGTGGAAGGTGGGAAACCTCCCAGGCACATCTGCTGGGTTTCTTGTCACCTTCCCCACAGCCCTAAGTTCCCACAGCAATTCGGCAGTGCTCCTGGGTCCCCAAATGACAATTCACAGCTGTGACACAATGATAGTGTTAACAAGTGGCAAGTTGCATTCTGTTTTGGTTTTCTTCTTTGTATCATTTGTAGCTTGAAGTGCCATTATTTGACATTGCCATTTTATTAAGTAGTATTACAGGAGCCCTCATGTAGTTCATTAAATTGGGCCACTATCAGATGGGGTTTTTTGGTGAATTTTTTTAGTATGTGTTTTTCCACTTATTCTGGCTTTTGGGAAGTTAGGACCAAGAGATAGCAGCTTGTTTATTTCCTCTGATGTCAATTCAAATGACATTCACTATATAGTCAACCCTCCCCCCCCCCCATGGTGGCTAAACTACCTTGAAAATTGTTGTTGTTAAGTGTCATCAAGTTGGTTGCGACTCTGTATAGGGTTTTTAAGGAGCAGCTGATGAGCTTGAACTGCTGCTGACCTTACAGTTCAGACCGACTCTACAGTCCAGCGTGTTAACCCACAGCGCCATGCGTCCATATAGTTGCAGTACTTTACATGTTGAGCTCATACGTATATTTTTGGATAAAAAATGTTCCCAGGTCTTCATATAGGCAAATGTTTCCTTTCTGCTGTTCCAGGTTACAACCCTCTGTCTGGTGAAGGAGGCGGCTCGTGCTCCTGGAGGCCTGGACGCAGAGGTCCAACGTCTGGTGGATGAAGCTAAGCTTCTTGTTATTGTCAGCTGACATTAACAAGATGTGCCTAAACCCTCAAGTCAATTGCTCTGCGCACCCTTTTCACAGTGACTAGTTACGGGAAGGTGGGAGTTATTTCTGCTCTGAGCTATCTCTGCATGTTTAAGGCTTTTAAGTCAACAAAAGGGAGGCAGTGCCATTAGGCATTCAGCCAGTGGTCACCCCACTTGATGAGGGCAGCTGCCCCACTGATTTCTAGGTGAAGTCCTAGCTGGTATATAACTCTCCTGAGAGGCCAAGTGATGGTTTGTTGAAGTAGAAGTCTTTGCTGACAGAATAGTCTCTGTGACAGGTTGCATTCAATGACGTCTTCCTTATAAATGGTGAACCCACCAATGAGGATTACTGATAACAGACAGTTGATGAGGCTGTGTCTGTATATTTATTTTTATGTACAGAACTTTGTAAAAATAAAAAAGGTGTTGTAAATATTAAAAATTTGCAAATAACATTTTTAGCATCTTTATGAAATTTGAGAAAATTTCTATATAAACTTGACTTTGTCTTTCAAACATTAAACAGCTTTTATCATTCACAACCTCTGACTATTAAGATTTCTGTATTTATTCCTCACCAGAAATGTGAATGGCAGCTGTGAGTTTAAAAGTTGGCAAGTTCCTTGGGACTCATCCAAAAGATCTGGGCCGGAACTACCAGGTGATTGCAGGTAGTTGCTGAATTAAGGAGCAGCTTATGAAGACACCGCTCCTTGCCTCGAGGTGATGTGCACCAAGTTGCCTGACAGAGTTCCTGAGAACTCTGGCTTCCATTCCCCTTTGCACCTGGATTCATTTCTGCATTGTTGAGACATTTTCAGGGGTTGGCAGACTTTTCTTAGCAGGCCAGATGGTAAATATTTTCGACTTTGCAAGTCATCTGTAGTCTTAGGGTTTTTGTTTTAAATCTTAGTTTGCAGGCAGAATTTGGCCTGTAGGCTATAATTTACCAACCTCTGCCATAGAGATCAAGAGGGACAAATACTGACTTCCTGATGAATTCGCTGGAAATGTGTCTGAAATGGTCTCATATATAAATTGTTGTTGTTAAGTGCTGTCGAGCCAGTTCCATAGTGACTGTGTATAAGGTTTCCAAGGAGCAGCTGGTGGGTTTAGCAGTCCAGTTAGTGAACATTTATTGTGTATCTTGCTATGTGTAGAATCGTCTGGGTTGCTGCTTTTGGCAGTATATTGCATAAAGGGAAAACTACAGTCTGATCTGATGAGGCTTAAAATCTGTGGAGGTCTGTGGGGAGTTGGGGCAGAAATGGGGCCCTTGAACAACTGTGTAAATTACACTTAGGTTGGAGTAGTGAAGACTGAGTATTTGAGTCTGGAGAGACGTGAGTGAAATTCTATGTAGGGAGGAAATTGGGTCTTCCAGGCAGAACAAGGGTCAGAGAAAGCCTGAGTGGGTTTTGGGAGCTTTTGGAAACCTTTTGAACACTTTGCCCAGTTTAACTAGATTTATTTTCCACCAACATGGAAAATGAACACTTTGCAAAGTTTTATAATTGGATTAAGATTCTTTCACCTAGATTTGTTGTTTATATCTAGAGATTTCTTTCTAAGAAACTGCCTAGTAATTCTTCCTTTAGTTTGGTATGTTTCCTGTAGCTTGAAACTTTTGAGAAATTATTCTCAGCTATTAGTTGGAAGAAATGATTTAGAAGTAAAATAATCTTCACAAACGGGGAGTTTTTCTAGTGTTCACTTGGAGTACCAGTTCTGGACCTACTCCTTGATGGCTTCGTTCTGCACAGAGTCCACGTGGTAATATGAAAATAGCGACCTTAGCCAAGCCCCTTCGGAAAGCTGATTGTCCCTTTGTTAACCTGGTTAGCCTCATGGGAGGAGTTAATACAGTGCCACAAATGTTGACATCAAATAAGTCCCTTTCACTTTGCAACATCGATTCCAACCTCCTTTCAGTTCAGCTCAGTCCTCCTCTGCCCACCGTTGTAACAACCTCTTTTGTGCTGTGGAGTCTACAAACCTCATATTAAAATTAGGGGTGGTTTTCAGAAGATGCAAGAAAAGCGAGCTTGCCAACATGATCTTTGTTGAGGACGATTCATTCTTTAGTTTTTCCAACATGTCTTACCACTGAACTGAACTCCAGCCAATCACATTGCAAGAGTCCGTTGGACTGTGTGTGGCCTGATCTAAATTGCCTCACTCATGCATCCATGGTCAGCTGGAGGCTGGCTGGACCTACATGGCCTCACTCACGTAGGGCACTTGGCTGGGCCATGTGTTTGTCAACCTTCAGCAGCTAACTTGCACTTGTTCATGTGGTGGTTCAATTTCAAGAACAGATTTCCAAGTCAGATGGCCTCACATTTTGCTATTATTCATTGGCCAGAGTCAAGGATAGCAGGAGATTCCACCTTTTCGATTGCAGTGAATTCACATTGCAAAGATAGAGATACAGGAATTGGAAAAAAATTGTGGCTATTAAAAGAGAATTATGTAGCAAATATGGCGAATCCTGCTCTGACATGTGTGTTCTGGAGACGCTCATCTATACCAAGAAATTTGGAAGGCAGGCACCTGACCAGCTGACTGGAAAAGGTTCACGTTAGTGCCCATTCCAGAAAGCTGCCAAATCAAACTATTATTATCACATGTAAACAGAATTTTGTGAAGGTTATTAAAGTATTACAATATAGTGACAGGGAACTGCCACAGGGTCAGGCCCGATTCAGACAGGGATGGTCAGCCAGGGATATTGCTGACATCAGATGGATCTGGGCTGAAAGACACTACCAGAAAGATACTTGTGCTTTATCGACTATGCAAACGTTTTCCACTGTGGAGCATGACAAGTTAGGGGTCTCATTACTAAGAATGAGTATTCTGGAACACTTGTGTTCATGAGGAACCTGTACATAGACTAAGGCAATTGTTCCAACAGGACAAGGGTACACTTGTTGTTAGGTGCCATCGATGCCATAGTGACTCATAGCGATTCTGTGCACAACAGAATGAAACACTGCCCAGTCCTGGGCCAACCTCACTGCTGTTGCCATGCTTGAGCCCATTGATGTTGGCATTTTGCCAATCCAGCTCTCTGGGGGTCTTCCTCTTTTTCTCTGACCCTCCACCTCACCAAACATGATATCCTCCAGAGACCGGTCCCTCCTACAATATGTCAGAAATACGAGAGACAAAGTTTGGCTATCCTGGCCTCCAAGGAACACTCTGGCTGCACTTCTTCCAACAGAGATCTGTTCTTTTGGCAGCCCATGGCTCTTTCAATATTCTCCTCCAACACCATAACTCAAAAGCATCAATTCTTCTGTGGTCTTCCTTATTCACTGCTCAGCTTTTGCATGCATATGAGGTTATTGAAAATACCCTGGCTTGGGTCAGGCGCGCCTTAGTCCCCAAGCTGACATCTTTGCTCTTCAACACTTTAAAAAAGGTCTTGTGCAGCAGATTTGCGTAATGCAATATGTCATTTGATTTCTTGACAGCTGCTTCTGTGAGTGTTGATAGTTGATCCAAGAAGAATGAAGTCCTTGACAACTTCAAGTGGTTTAAAATCAGGAAGCTGTGCACCAGGGTGGTATTCTTTTACCATACTTAGTCTATATGCTGAGAAAATAATCGGAGAAACTGGATTACATGAAAATGTGTCATAAAGATTGGAGGAGGACTGATTAACAGCATGTGATACACAGATAATACAATATTGCTTGCTGAAAGTGAAGAGGACTTCAAATATTGATGAAGATCAAAGACCACAGCCTGCAGAATGGATTACACCTCAATGTAAAGAAAATAAAAATCCTCATAATGACCAATAACATGATAAACGGAGCAAAGATGGAAGTTGTCAAAGGCTTCACTTTGCTTGGATCCACTATCAACACTCATTGACGCATCTGTCAACTCAAACAACGTATTGCACTAGGTAAATCTACTGCAAAAGAGCTTAAAGTGTTTAAGAGCGAAGATGTCAATTTGGCACCTAAGGTGTGCCTGACGTGCAACCCTGGAATTTTCCATAGCCTCATACGCATGTGAAAGTTGGGCAATGATTGAATAAGGAAGACCATAGAAGAATTGATGTATTCGAGTTATGGTGTTGGAGAAGAATATTCAAAGCACCATGGACTGCCAGATGGACAAATCTGTGTTGGAAGAAGTACAACCAGAATGCTTCTTAGAAGCAAGGATAAGACTGTCTCTCATACTTTGGACATGTTATCTAGAGGGGAAAGGTTATGATTGGTGAAGCGTCAATGAAAAAGAGGAAGACCTCCAGCTAGATGGGTTGGTACGGTGGCATCAGAAATGGGCTCAAGTGTAACAACAGTAGTGAGGTTGGCCCAGGACTGGGCAGTGTTTCGTTTTTGTGCATAGGGTTGCTATGAGTCGGCTAACGCAATGGAACCTAACAACGTTGGATAGTGCTATCCCGCCGTCCACAATCCTGAAGGGCTCTATGATAGGAGGAGACCTTCAACAGAGAGAATGCCACCTTGTAGTGACCTAGCAGGTAGAAGCAAGACGAAATACTCTGACCTCACTGTCCTCCTACACAGTGACCTGCCACTTCTTCCCATTGACTGAACCTGGCTGGAGCACTTGGGAGTGGAGCTGTTACCTGCTGAGCTGGTTAACAAAGTCTGGACTCAATGTGACTTCTAGTCAAAGGGCTGGAACTAGAATTTCCCTGACATCAGTGGGTATACAAAACCCTCAATATGTTGCATGGATGTACTATGTGATACTTGCTCGTTCATCCCTGAAACGTTTCCTCCAGAGATAGCCCAGGGAACATTGTTTCACCAAAGCATTACAAAGGGTTTCCGAGGGCTCTCCAGCATTTCGGAAAAGCAGCGATGACCTGTGGGAATAAGATAGATGTGATGTCATCATGAGGATCTGAGAACTGGTGATCATCATGTCCTTGTGTGGAAGTATTGACACTGAAAGGACCGGTCAGTGGTGATGAG